CCTTGAGGTACTGCTGTCCACGAGGCACCACCTGGGAGCCTCCTTGAGGTACTGCTGTCCAGGAGGCACCACCTGGGAGCCTCCTTGAGGTACTGCTGTCCAGGAGGCACCACCTGGGAGCCTCCTTGAGGTACTGCTGTCCAGGAGGCACCACCTGGGAGCCTCCTTGAGGTACTGCTGTACAGGAGGCACCACCAGGGAGCCATCTGTGCCACTAAGCTCTCGGGCTAACGTAAAAGCTCCAAGAACGTTTCCGAATTACTGTACAATTGCTACTTAGAATGGCTGGAAAATATTTTATATGTTTTGGTTTGTGCTAAGTTTCAATAGAGTCACGCAGATAATGTTGGGGATCCGTGGAAATGACTCTTGGTCGGATTCATGTTGACACTCGCTCCTCTGAGTCAATGTCATGTTCTCCGAGTCACTGTCATGTTCTTTAAGGTTCACAACTTGTGTAATTTTCTTGTATATTTGAAGAAACGTCAAAAGACCCCCCCCCCCAATAAAACCAATAAATGAAAACTTATAAAAAGTCGAGTAATTCAGTTACTTTAAAATGCTGATTGAACCTGCAGCGTCCTTTCACATAGGGAAAAAAAGCTCGCATGTACCACCACACTAACTCCTTTCCTGACACTGGTTTCAATCCTCTCTGATCTACTCGATTTAGCAAGTGCAGGCAAGCAACTTTAAGGATTCATGTATGTAATTTGTGGAGTTGGAGCGAGAGATGTTTCCACCTTATTTCGCATTCAGGCGCAATGTTGGGAAAGTTTTGAGCAACGATATGGAGTCTTACTGTTTCTGAGGCCTGGCAATGCTAGTCATTGTCTGGTGGGCTGGGGGTGTTTAGTATGAGTGAGTGAGTGAGTGAGTGAGTGAGTGAGTGAGTGAGTGAGTGAGTGAGTGAGTGAGTGAGTGAGTGAGTGAGTGAGTGAGTGAGTGAGTGAGTGAGTGAGTGAGTGAGTGAGTGAGTGAGTGAGCGAGCGTGCGTTTGCATATGTAAACATGTGCACACCTGTGACTGAAATAGTTTTTACTTGACCAGGTCTTATAATAGGCAACAAATCGTCCACTCATTATCCGCGTATTACCTAAAAGGTCAATTTACCGACACATTCAGCCAGGCCAACCGCCACACGACACAGCCAGCCATTATAAGACCTTCAACGACCAGATAATGTTGGCTGACAGAGAGAGACGGCGCTCAAACACTCGTGACAATGACACTCATCAGCGTCTCTTCACGAGGACGGCAGAGCAAACACTGCCAGCGAACACCCGGGCTGAGAGTCCGCGCTACGGCGCTCGTGTATTCTTTTTTGTTATGGAGGGGGAGAAGGGGAAGGGGAGAAGGGGAAGGGGAGAAGGGGAAGGGGAGAAGGGGAAGGGGAGGGGGAGAAGGGGAGGGGGGGAGGGGGAGAATGGGAGGGGGAGAAGGGGAGGGGGAGAAGGGGAGGGAGAGAAGGGGAGGGGGAGAAGGGGAGGGAGAGAAGGGGAGGGAGAGAAGGGGAGGGAGAGAAGGGGAGTGGGGAGAATGGGAGGGGGAGAAGGGGTGGGGAGGGGATGGGGGCTGCAAGATACCTGCGCTAAATCTCTTTTTCTCGCAGCGATAAAGTCTATTTACCTTCTAGCCTTTCTCAAACTTAATTCGTTTCTCCCTCAAATCTGTTACACTCTCAAAACTTAACCTTAACGTCTCAAATATTATCTCCAATCTTCGAAGTTCCATAAACTTCCCCCGCTTAAAGTCTGGTCAATGTTTCCATTTCCATAACCGCTCACCAATCTCCTCTTATCTGGCTTCTTTAATGGCTCATCAGCCTCTTGCCGTGCCTTAAATCTTCCCTTGCAGCGCCCCACATCTTCCCCTTCACCTTAAGCCCTGGGAGTCTGCCAAGTCTTGTGTGGGTCAGTGAATTAATTTTCATCAAGATCTTGCTAACTTCCCCTTGTCTAAGATGTCCCAAGAGACTTCTTCTTTTTCCTCCTGGGTTGCAATCAGCGCAGAGGCCAGAAGCCTACCGCTGGCTATACCTTCAGGTGTGTTATCTTGAGGTTATCTTGAGATGATTTCGGGGCTAAGCGTCCCCGCGGCCCGGTCCTCGACCAGGCCTCCTTTTTGTTACACATCCCCAGGAAGCAGCCCGTAGCAGCTGTCTAAATCCCAGGTACCTATTTACTGCTAGGTGAACAGGTGCATCAGGGTAGAAAAACTCTGCATATTTGTTTCAGCCTTCACCGGGGATCGAACCCGGAACCTCATGACTACGAATCTCGAACGCTGTCCACTCAGCTTTCAAGCCTCATATTTGTTTAATATTATCAGTAGTGAGGGTGTTGTACCAGACCTCAGGAAGAGGGCCTCTTTGGGACGCGCTGCGATGCAGGTATACACAGGTAGTTTATACTTGTTATGGGACCCGGTGGTGCCCGGGTCGTCTACCTCTATTGCAAGGTACTGGCAGGCTTGACTTGTGATGGAAGAACTTGGAAGATGGAAGAGCTTCCTCTTCAAGCTTCAAGAGCTTGAAGAGGAATGTTTGGAAACGAAATCCTCTTGCATAATTGAACTAATTACAGGTAAAGTATGGTAGCTAGAGTTTATTATTTTATTGTTCCAGACACGAGTTGATAGATATTTTAATTGTATAAATAAAAAGTGAACAAAATAAAAAATACCGGGTAAAGTTGATATATTATTACGAAAATCGTGGTGGGGTTTCCACTAACAGCGAGTCCATTGGCCTTCCTTTCTCTTGTGCCAAGCCTCACCCGTGCCAATATCCAAAATAAAATTTTGGATATTATTTTTAATACACCTGTAGTCAGGGCCAGGGCCAGCAGCCCTCGCACTCTGGGCCACCAGGGCCCGCAGCCCCCCCCCCCACACACACTGGGCCAGGGCCAGCAGGCACACACACAGGGGCCAGCAGCCACACACACAGGGGCCAGCAGCCACACACACACAGGGGCCAGCAGCCACACACACACAGGGGCCAGCAGCCACACACACACAGGGCCCAGCAGCCACACACACACAGGGGCCAGCAGCCAGCAGCCACACACACACAGGGGCCAGCAGCCACACACACACAGGGGCCAGCAGCCACACACACACAGGGCCCAGCAGCCACACACACACAGGGGCCAGCAGCAGCCACACACACACAGGGGCCAGCAGCCACACACACACAGGGGCCAGCAGCCACACACACACAGGGGCCAGCAGCCACACACACACAGGGGCCAGCAGCCACACACACACAGGGGCCAGCAGCCACACACACACAGGGGCCAGCAGCCACACACACACACAGGGGCCAGCAGCCACACACACACACAGGGGCCAGCAGCCACACACACACAGGGGCCAGCAGCCACACACACACAGGGGCCAGCAGCCACACACACACAGGGGCCAGCAGCCACACACACACAGGGGCCAGCAGCCACACACACACAGGGGCCAGCAGCCACACACACACAGGGGCCAGCAGCCACACACACACAGGGGCCAGCAGCCACACACACACAGGGGCCAGCAGCCACACACACACAGGGGCCAGCAGCACACACACACAGGGGCCAGCAGCCACACACACAGGGGCCAGCAGCCACACACACACAGGGGCCAGCAGCCACACACACACAGGGGCCAGCAGCCACACACACACAGGGGCCAGCAGCCACACACACACAGGGGCCAGCAGCCACACACACAGGGGCCAGCAGCCACACACACACAGGGCCAGCAGCCACACACACACAGGGGCCAGCAGCCACACACACACAGGGGCCAGCAGCCACACACACACACAGGGGCCAGCAGCCAGGGGCCAGCAGCCACACACACACAGGGGCCAGCAGCCACACACACACAGGGGCCAGCAGCCACACACACACAGGGGCCAGCAGCCACACACACACACAGGGGCCAGCACACACACACACAGGGGCACAGCCACACACACACAGGGGCCAGCAGCAGGGGCCAGCAGCCACACACACACACAGGGGCCAGCAGCCACACACACACACAGGGGCCAGCAGCCACACACACACACAGGGGCCAGCAGCCACACACACACACAGGGGCCAGCAGCCACACACACACACAGGGCCAGCAGCCACACACACACACACAGGGGCCAGCAGCCACACACACACACAGGGGCCAGCAGCCACACACACACAGGGGCCAGCAGCCACACACACACAGGGGCCAGCAGCCACACACACAGCACCAGCAGCCACACACACAGCACCAGCAGCACACACCACAGCAGCACCAGCAGCCACACACACAGCATCAGCAGCCACACACACAGCACCAGCAGCCACACACACAGCACCAGGCCAGCAGCCACACACACAGCACCAGCAGCCACACACAGCAACAGACTCCTGCACCATCTCTCCTTGTCACCCTCGTCTCCGCCAGACCCGTTCTTGTTCCTCTACCATTAGTCACGAGTCTGGTAGGCGGAGGGGGGGGGGGGTGTCGTTACCACCCAGGTGCTAATGGGCTACGTCACTGCCTCCTGCTGCCTCGTTTCTACCTTCTCCTCGTCTTCCTCTTATTCCTTCTCCTCCTCCACTGCCTCCTCCTCCATCTTCCTGCAGTGGTATGGTGGTGAGGTCTATACTCTTTCACATTCATGTCTGGAAGTGATAATGGCATTGTGGTCTCGGGCGAGGGATGGCTGGGAAAGGGCTGGGGAGGGGCTGGGGAGGGGCTGGGGGGAGGGGTGGGGTAGGGGTAGTGGGGAGAAGAGGCAGTAAAAGGGATGCATCCTTCACCTCTCTTCCCTGACTTAAGAAGTGCCGTGTCAGGGCGCCAAACTTCTCAAGGGTGGCCGATCCCTCGCTCTTTTATCTCTCGCAGCTTAGAAATGTTTTCCGTTGGGTATAAAACTTTGATTATTGCCAAGTTCACCAAATATTGTGCACAGATCAAGCTGGAGTCAACTGTGTCCGGTACACATGGACTTTACGTGGTCGGTCGACTTGACATCAACAGTGTCGACGTGCTGAAAGAATACACTAAAAATGTGTAGGCCGGTAAATACATGATCGCTGATGGAGTGATGTTGTGTGAGAATGGCAGAGCCAACAGGAGGCTGCTGATGGCTGAGTGCCTTCGTTTTGTGGGTGCTGAGTTGCGATTGTTGACGGAGGTGGGCCAGCTGACTAATACGGGAAAAATTAGCCTTATAAAGAAAGCCAAGGTCGCCTGACATCCACGCCCAGAGGCCCTTCAAGATGTTACATCACTCTAGAGCACATTCACTCCAAACATCTACCACCTACGGGCTACTCATGCCCATGCCACCTCTTGTGGTGGCTTAATCATCTTCAGTCAGCCAACCTGACACCTCTCCAGCGTTGAAAGCTCTGAAGTATGAGAACTTCAACCATGAGAACGAGAGAAGTCTTCTCCGTGGTTCTCAATCTTATGCAAAGTCGAATTAAGAAAAGGAAGACAGACCGTTCAGGACAACAACAAAGAATCAAGATGAAAGCAAGGTAAGGTTCCAAGGGGGAAAGCGCCAAGCCATTACGACTATATAGCACTTGGAAGGGGTCAGGATAAGGATATGGGATGGGACGGAGGGGTTGAATGGTGCCCAACCACTTGGACGGTTGGGGATTGAACCCCGACCTGCATGAAGCTAGACCGTCGCTCTACCGTCCAGCCCAAGTGGTTGGACAAAAGATGGGAGCAATCTGGCGCTGCACGGACGGTTGCAACCACTGCTCTCGAGAAGGTAAGAGACGCCCCCATAATACTGCAAGTTTCTTGGCTGCCTTGCTTGCTTCAGCACCAGGCTCTTCATAGTCACTGAAGAGTCTCACAACTCCCCCCCCCCCCACCCTCAGGATGTCAACCTTATCACCGAGCTCCAGGGGGCTAGATTCACGAAACAGTTACGCAAGCACTTACATCTTTCCTCAATCTTTGACGGCTTTGGTTACATTTATTGAACAGTTTACAGCCATGAAAACTTGCCAATCAACTGTTGTTATTGTTATAAACAGCCTCCTGGTGCTTCGGAGCTCATTACTGTTTAATAATTGTAAACAAAGCCGCCAAAGATTGAGAAAAGATGTACAGGTTCGCAAGTGCTGCGCGTAACTGCTTCGTGAATCTGGCCCCCTCAGGTTCGTGTCCCACATCCCCCACATCCCTACACCCGTGTCAGCGACACTATCATGCAGCACAGTTATCATCCTCGCAAGCGTTTACCCGGACACAAACATAACCTCGCAGCGGTTGACATTTCGTACACACACATACACACACACACACATTCCTGCCCGTGTGTACGAAAGGTTTCCCGCGGAGGTTATCTTGAGGAGAGCGGAAGGCATAGACGTGGCATTAGTCCGTCTCCCGCGACGCCCCGGGATGCACAAGGTCTTAAGGACGAGACGAACGGCGTCTTGTGGGCGCGAGCCGTCTGTTGTGGGACGGTTGTTAACAGGAAGCTTCCTTAGACGGATTTTATGATGACAAAGTAAACATGTTTGTGGGCATACTTTACGTTTGGTTCACACAGAAACCACAGCTGAAGAACACATGCCTCAGGGGGCCTCGAGGGCCCCCTGAGGGCCCCTTAGGGGGCCTCAAGAAGTCTCAGGGAGCCCTCAAGAAGTCTCAGGGGGGCCCCTCAGGAAGTCTCAGGGGGCCCTCAGGACCCATAGAGGGTGTAACAGAGAGGGAGGGAGAGTCGGGGTGATGGGGGGGGGGAGGGCGTGGGGGTGGAGTGGACACTGGTACACAAGAGTATTAAAGCGTAATATGTCAGGTTTCACGGAACGAAATGACATTGGCAGCAAAGTAGCAGCTGCACCAACAACACCAGAAGCACCAACAACACCAGCAGCACCAACAACACCAGCAGCACACCAACAACACCAGCAGCACCAACAACACCAGCAGCACCAACAACACCAGCAGCACCAACAACACCAGCAGCACCAACAACACCAGCAGCACCAACAACACCAGCAGCACCAACACCACACCAGCACCAACAGCACCAGCAGCACCAACAACACCAGCAGCACCAACAACACACAGCAGCACCAACAACACCAGCAGCACCAACAACACCAGCAGCACCAACAGCTGCACCAACAACACCAGAAGCACCAACAGCTGCACCAACAACACCAGAAGCACCAACAGCTGCACCAACAACACCAGCAGCACCAAAACCAGCAGCAACAAAAGTAGAATAACACAAATTTAGGCTGGGGCAAGCTAGAGGGGGACGAGGGGCCCTCCAGCTGACAACAGCAGCAGCAGCAAGAAGCAGCAAGAAGCAGCAGCAGCAAGAAGCAACAAGAAGCAAAAGCAAGAACAGCAGCAAGAAGCAGCAGCAACAGCAGCAAGCAGCAACAGCAGCAAGAAGCAGAAGCAGCAGCAGCATGAAGCAGTCAAGAAAATTTATTGACAAGGAGGTGGTGTGTGTCTCGAATTTAGTGTTAGTCAGAGATCTCTTCCCGTCGTCCACAAGTTCTTCCCCCGTCACCCCAGGTGTGGCGCTTGACGGGGGTGTTGTAGTGGTGCGGCGCTTGACGGGGGTGTTGTAGTGGTGCGGCGCTTGACGTTGTGTGGTGCGGCGCTTGACGGGGGGTGTTGTAGTGGTGTGGCGCTTGACGGGGGGTGTTGTAGTGGTGCGGCGCTTGACGGGGGTGTGTTGTAGTGGTGCGGCGCTTGACGGGGGGTGTTGTAGTGGTGCGGCGCTTGACGGGGGGTGTCGTGTGCGGCGCTTGACGGGGGATGTTGTAGTGGTGCGGCGCTTGACGGGGTACTGTAGTGGTGCGGCGCTTGACGGGGGGTGTTGTAGTGGTGCGGCGGCTTGACGGGGGTGTTGTCGTGGTGCGGCGCTTGACGGGGGATGAGGGGTGGGGGCGCTTGACGGGGGTGTTGTAGTGGTGCGGCGCTTGACGGGGGTGTTGTAGTGGTGCGGCGCTTGACGGGGGTGTTGTCGTGGTGCGGCGCTTGACGGGGGTGTTGTCGTGGTGGGCGCTTGACGGGGGTTGTTGTCGTGGTGCGGCGCTTGACGGGGGTGTTGTCGTGGTGCGGCGCTTGACGGGGGTGTTGTAGTGGTGCGGCGCTTGACGGGGGTGTTGTAGTGGTGTGGCGCTTGACGGGGGTTGTTGTAGTGGTGCGGCGCTTGACGGGGGTTGTCGTGTGCGGCGCTTGACGGGGTGTGGGGCTTGACGGGGGTGTTGTAGTGGTGCGGCGCTTGACGGGGGGTGTTGTAGTAGTGGTGCGGCGCTTGACGGGGGGTGTTGTAGTGGTGCGGCGCTTGACGGGGGTGTTGTAGTGGTGGGCGCTTGACGGGGGGTGTTGTAGTGGTGCGGCGCTTGACGGGGGGTGTTGTAGTGGTGCGGCGCTTGACGGGGGTGTTGTAGTGGTGCGGCGCTTGACGGGGGGTGTTGTAGTGGTGCGGCGCTTGACGGGGGGTGTTGTAGTGGTGCGGGCGCTTGACGGGGGGTGTTGTCGTGGTGCGGCGCTTGACGGGGGGTGTTGTCGTGGTGCGGCGCTTGACGGGGGGTGTTGTCGTGGTGCGGCGCTTGACGGGGGTGTTGTCATGGTGCGGCGCTTGACGGGGGTGTTGTCGTGGTGCGGCGCTTGACGGGGGTGTTGTCGTGGTGCGGCGCTTGACGGGGGTTGTTGTCGTGGTGCGGCGCTTGACGGGGGTTTGTCGTGGTGCGGCGCTTGACGGGGGTGTCGTGGTGCGGCGCTTGACGGGGGTGTTGTCGTGGTGCGGCGCTTGACGGGGGTGTTGTCGTGGTGCGGCGCTTGACGGGGGTTGTCGTGGTGCGGCGCTTGACGGGGGGTTGTCGTGGTGTTTGTCGTGTGTGCGGCGCTTGACGGGGGTGTTGTGTGGTGGTGCGGCGCTTGACGGGGGTTGTTGTCGTGGTGCGGCGCTTGACGGGGTGACGGGGTTGTTGTCGTGGTGCGGCGCTTGACGGGGGTGTTCGTGGTGCGGCGCTTGACGTGGTGGTGCGGCGCTTGACGGGGGTGTTGTCGTGTGCGGCGCTTGACGGGGTGTTGTCGTGGTGCGGCGCTTGACGGGGGTGTTGTAGTGGTGCGGCGCTTGACGGGGGTGTTGTCGTGGTGCGGCGCTTGACGGGGGTGTTGTCGTGGTGCGGCGCTTGACGGGGGTGTTGTCGTGGTGCGGCGCTTGACGGGGGTGTTGTCGTGGTGCGGCGCTTGACGGGGGTGTGTTGTTGTCGTGGTGCGGCGCTTGACGGGGGTGTTGTCGTGGTGCGGCGCTTGACGGGGGTGTGTTGTCGTGGTGCGGCGCTTGACGGGGGGTGTTGTGGGGGGTGGTGGTGCGGCGCTTGACGGGGGGTGTTGTCGTGGTGCGGCGCTTGACGGGGGTGTGTCGTGTAGGGGTGTGGGGTGCGGCGCTGACGGGGGTGTTGTCGTGGTGCGGCGCTTGACGGGGGTGTGTCGTGGTGCGGCGCTTGACGGGGGTGTTGTAGGGGTGTGGGGCTTGACGGGGGTGTTGTCGTGGTGCGGCGCTTGACGGGGGGTGTTGTCGTGGTGCGGCGCTTGACGGGGGGTGTTGTAGTGGTGTGGGGCTTGACGGGGGTTGTCGTTGTGCGGCGCTTGACGGGGGTTTGTCGTGGTGTGGGGCTTGACGGGGGTGTTGTGTGTGGCGGCGCCTGCGGGCGCTTGACGGGGGTGTTGTAGTGGTGCGTGGTGTGGGGCTTGACGGGGGTGTTGTGGTGGTGCGGGGCTTGACGGGGGTGTTTGTAGTGGTGCGGCGGCTTGACGGGGGTGTTGTGTGGTGTGGGGCGGCGCCTTGACGGGGGTGTTGTCGTGGTGTGGGGCTTGATGGGGGTACTGTTGTGGGGGGGGGGCTTGACGGGGGTGTTGTCGTGGTGTGGGGCTTGATGGGGGGGGGGCTTGACTGTAGTAGTTGGGGGGGGGGGGCTTGACGGGGGTGTAGTAGTGGGGTGGGCTTGACGGGGGTGTTGTAGTGGGAGGGGCTTGATGGGGGAGGGCTTTGACGGGGGTGTAGTGACGGGGGGGCTTGACGGGGGTGTTGTAGTGGGAGGGGCTTGACGGGGGTGTTGTAGTGGGAGGGGCTTGACGGGGGTGTTATGGGGTGGGCTTGACGAGGGGTATTATTCAAGAGGCTTGGCTTGGTGGGAGGTATTGCAGTGGGGTGGAATTGAAGTGCGTATTATTGTATTCGGTTAGGCTTTACAGGAGTACTGAAGCTGTACTTGATGGGGAGGGGGAGAGGACAGAAGGAGAGAGGAGAAGAGAGAGAGAGAGAGAGAGAGAGAGAGAGAGAGAGAGAGAGAGAGAGAGAGAGAGAGAGAGAGAGAGAGAGAGAGAGAGAGAGAGAGAGAGAGAGAGAGAGAGAAGAGAGAGAAGAGAGAGAGAGAGAGAGAGACAGAGGTGGGGGATGAATGCCACCTCAGCAGATGTCTTCCCTCAGGTCGCTTTATCGTGTGTAGCCCATTGTGTTTGATGAGTGTGCTTGTGTACGCCCCATTTTCCCCCATGCTCGTGTGTGTCCCTGGCCCATTTTCCCCTTGATTCATGCTCTTACCGGGGCACATTTTCTCGTCCCTGTGTTTTTCCTACAGTCCATATTTTTCAGTGTGTATGTGCCCTTCAAGTTCACTTCTGGTGCTGTGTTTGCATATAATCTATTTTCTATTCTGAATGTGTTTGTGTTTAATTCAGTTTGGGCAGTAAGTTGGTGTGTGATCCATTTTCTTTGATGTGCTGGTTGTATAGTAATTTAGTTGTCGTCGGTGCTGATGTTTGTGTATTATTAATTTTTATTTTGCCTGTGTGTACGGTCCATTATCTGTATCGTGTGTATGAAGCCCCATTTACTTGTCGTTTGTGTGTATGCTTGGCTCACTGTGAAGTATACGCGCGGACGACACGCTGTCACTGCTGGGGGAATTTTACATCAGTTATACTCTTCTTTAGTGAGTTTGAGAGTGGACCATTTTCTTTATTGTGTGTATTTCAGAAGATTTCGGCGTCATTGGTGTGTGTGTGTGTGTGTGTGTGTGTGTGTGTGTGTGTGTGTGTGTGTATTTTGTAAATTATGAAGAGAACAGCAGCAGGAAAGGGAGACTGTCTGCATTTTGGTTCTGTGGGAGAGTATTAGCGACATGATCCCTAGAACATTATCACTCCTGTCACACGTCATTGGCCTCGGATCACCCCACACTAACCTGACTTACCAAACCTCACTCATTCTTCATCTCGTGCAGTGCCTGTGTACATGTTGTGTTGACAGCTTCTCAACAACCCTGTCTGGGTCTTTTGTGGCTTACTGCACTGTCACAACTGGTGTCGGGGTCTTTTGTGGCTTACTGCATTGTCACAACTGGTGTCTGGGTCTTTTGTGGCTTACTGCACTGTCACAACTGGTGTCTGGGTCTTTTGTGGCTTACTGCACTGTCACAACTGGTGTCTGGGTCTTTTGTGGCTTACTGCACTGTCACAACTGGTGTCTGGGTCTTTTGTGGCTTACTGCATTGTCACAACTGGTGTCTGGGTCTTTTGTGGCTTACTGCATTGTCACAACTGGTGTCTGGGTCTTTTGTGGCTTACTGCATTGTCACAACTGGTGTCTGGGTCTTTTGTGGCTTACTGTATTGTCACAACTGGTGTCTGGGTCTTTTGTGGCTTACTGCACTGCCACAACTGGTGTCTTCTGTTCGTCTGCTGTTACAAGTCACAGTGGTATAATCTCTCTTATCCTCACAATCTTCAACATAAATAGTTTTTTGTTATTTTTGTATTTGTAATTCCCCCTTCCCACCCCAGGAAATATTCCATCGACATCACCTTAGTGACTTATTGGTTCCACTGCCGGCATGTCCAGTTCGGTTCCAATGATGGTCCTCTTGATCTTTGTTTGACAAAGATCAATTGAAACATTAATCTTCTTACATCTGTGTTTCGGCTTCTTGTTATTAATATTAGTGAATGCGTCATATTTCAAGACTCTCTGATTAATTACTCTGTGTCTCCATTTCTGTGATTCATTAGTTTTATTTGTCACTGTTCTGTGTTATCTGTCTGTGTTATCTGTACATAGATATAAAGGTGCTGCTCTTTTATACCATCAGTTAATTCTCGTATCTCTTCTATATTGTAGGTTGATAGTTGTTCTATATTCTACGTTTTTTCAGGTTTATTAGATTCAACTCTTTACTCTACCCATAAACAAATATAATTCCAGTTTGCCGCTTCGTTTATTTATAGACTTCCAAGTTTGTTGTTAATTTTCTTTTCATTTTCTTTTCATCTGTATCAACCATCTATATTTTTCTGTTTACTTCGTCCACTTAAACAGTCTGTCTGCCTGACTGCCTGCCTGCCTTCATGCCTATCTGCCTGCCTGCCTGCCTGCCTGCCTGCCTGCCTGCCTGCCTGCCTGCCTGCCTATCTGCCTGCCTGCCTGCCTGCCTGCATGCTGCCTGCCTGCCTGCCTGCCTGCCTGCCTGCTTGCCACACACACTCGCAATCTCCCCGTAACCCGTCCTGTTTATTTTGTTTCACCAGACAACTATTGGTCAGAATGTATCACTTTTGGCTGTAGCTGTCACGCTGAAGGAGGAAGAAAAGCAAGCGAGGAGCCATGAGGCAAGTGTGCGCGCCACAAGGGTCAGGGTGGAGACAATTACGAATTACGCTGCAGAATATTCCCTTCTGCACTCAACATACCAACTGGAAGATAAAAAGGAACAAATTTGCTTATATTTCCTTATTATTGTCTTTTAAATGGTGTTTTAGTTCTGGGGGCGACAAGTCCTGTGTATTTTGTGAAACATGTTTGGTTCTGGGGGCAACAGATCCTGTGTATTTTGTGAAACATGTTTGGTTCTGGGGGCAACAGATCCTGTGTATTTTGTGAAACATGTTTGGTTCTGGGGGCGACAGATCCTGTGTATTTTGTGAAACAGGTTTGGTTCTGGGGGCGACAAATCCGTTAAGGTTCCGTGGGGAAATTGGGAGTGAGTTGCCGAACAGATATTCAAATTTAATTCATCTTGGGCTGAATTTCCCGATGTCTGACAGAGGCGACATGTCCGAGTGACTTGCTGGCTTCATATGCAGACATTGACGGTGTTACATGCCCTCACGCCTACTTGCGGGGGGTTGAACTTCAGCTCTTAAGTCCCAGCTCTCGACTTTCAATCGACTGGTGTAATTTAACCCAGACAGACGAGGATAAGATGAGAAGTGAGAACACTCCCAAAGCCGCGTCTAACATCATAAAATGAGAAAGATCTGGGAAAAGACGCCATAGTCAACCACATTACCAAGATGCTGCCTACTACGTATATCAAACTGGCCAACAGTCACCTAACCTTCAGCAACTTTATATTAAAGATGCCTTCCGAGTGCTATAAGCAACTTACGTAAGACCAACTGTTCAGTATGCAGCCCAAGCATAAAATTGCACCCATAAAAAATACAAAACTAATTAGCAAACTATTCAGATAGGCAAAAATGGGCTCGTTCCTTAGCAAAGGACACTGAACAAGAGGTTGAAGGAACTGGATCCCACCACACTGGAAGTCAGAAGTAACAGATGGGACATGATTACGACGTACAAAGTAAAGAGGTATTGACAAAGTAGTTCTGTTGCTCCTTTGAACAAGCATTGTTGAAAGGAGCAACATAAGGATAAAACATTTATAATAAACTAGACGGAAATGAATCAAAACTCTCAGAAATAATTTATATAGTATCCCCAACCTCTCCACCCACACAGTACCCCACACACCGTCACCCACACAGTACCCCACACACCGTCACCCACACAGTACCCCACACACCGTCACCCACACAGTACCCCACACACCGTCACCCACACAGTACCCCACACCCGTCACCCACACAGTACCCCACACCTCTCCACCCACACAGTACCCCACACCGTCACCCTCACAGTACCCCACACCGTCACCCTCACAGTACCCCACACACCGTCACCCACAGTACCCCACACACCGTCACACACAGTACCCCACACCTCACATGTAGGCAGCATCGTGTGAGTGGTGGCGTGGGTGGTGTATATATATATATATATATATATATATATATATATATATATATATATATATATATATATATATATATATATATATATATATATATATATATATATATATATATATATAGAGAGAGAGAGAGAGAGAGAGAGAGAGAGAGAGAGAGAGAGAGAGAGAGAGAGAGAGAGAGAGAGAGAGAGAGAGAGAGAGAGAGAGAGAGAGAGAGAGAGAGATAAGGGAGGGAGAGGAGTGATGTCTCTCCTGAAGAGTATAACAAACGTAATATATCAATATGTTCAACATCGACACAAACACAAAACAAGGGATAAACATTGGATAAGATTATATTCAGAGGTAAACACAACCTGTTTCCAAACCTGAGTAAATACAGGTTTGGAAGCACGGTGGTCGATTCCTGGAACAAATTACCGATATATAACAGGCGTGCGATTGCTGGATTGTTTCAAGCGTAGGTTAGACACATATCAATGATCTTTGGGGATATAAATATGCGCTGCCTCGTATGGGACAATAATCCTTCCGCTGTTTTACTGTGTTCTTACAATGTAAACAAACTGTGGCACTGTAAACTGCGGTATACTGTAAACAGACTGTGTGTGTGGAACAGTGCACCAGTACCAGCTGTGTGACATACGCTAAAAATATGCTAGGAATATATTTCACGAGGCTGACAACAATCATATATCTTGGAGTTGGGGTATACTCCACACGTGGAGGGGGGGGGAGTAGTCTCACTGGATGGTCGAGGTTTGGATCATGTGGATACACAGGTGGGTGGACCAGCCGGGTGGTGGACCAGCTGGGTGGTGGACCAGCTGGGTGGTGGACCAGCTGGGTCGTGGACCAGCTGGGTGGTGGACCAGCTGGGTGGTGGACCAGCTGGGTGGTGGACCAGCTGGGTCGTGGACCAGCTGGGTCGTGGACCAGCTGGGTCGTGGACCAGCTGGGTGGTGGACCAGCTGGGTGGTGGACCAGCTGGGTCGTGGACCAGCTGGGTGGTGGACCAGCTGGGTGGTGGACCAGCTGGGTGGTGGAACAGCTGGGTGGTGGACCAAATGACTAAACCTTAGTCTTGACTAAACTGACACTAAAATTCTTTTTACAATGTGTTGGACTCACAGGCGTGCTTGGCTGCCATCTTTGTTACAGTGGTCGTGACCCAGCAGTCATGTCTCCCCCTCTCTGCCTCGTGTGTGTGTCCCTAACCCTTGTTGCCTACTCTATTTACTGTCCAGGCTGAATAGGTCAATCAGAGGCTAAAGTGGTCAAGTGTCCGGGAGGAGGATTATGACCGTGTTCTTGGAAATAATTCTTGTTTCCTGTCGTCAGTTCTGATGTTCCGGTGTTTCTACCTCCCTCGTCGCCCTTCTCGCTCTCTCTCTCTCTCTCTCTCCCTCCATTCCTTCTCGCGCTCTCTCTCTCTCTCTCTCTCTCCTCCATCCTTCTCGCTCTCTCTCTCTCTCTCTCTCTCCATCCATCCTTCTCGCTCTCTCTCTCTCTCTCTCTCTCCCTCCATTCCTTCTCTCCCTCTCTCTCTCCATCCCTTCCCTCCCTCCCTCCCTCCCACCCGGGTGTTGACATGATCCAACACACACTACCACTATGGGGGTCTCTGGAAATATTGGAGCCTTGTTTGCTAAGTCGAGAGACAACAGTGGCGGTAGCAAGTATATTAGCGGGGGAGGGGGAACTAATATTTTGACGTGAGCATGTTAATTTAATTCAGAGAGAGAGAGAGAGGAAAAGAGATAAAAAGAGAAAAAGAGAAAGAGAGAGAAAGAAAGAGAAAGAGAGAGAAAGGAAAGAAAGATAAAGAAAAAAGAGAGAAAGAAATTCCCCTAAGTACTGTTTTGCAACATTAAGACTACCGCAGTAGAGAGAATGACAACCCCCCCCCCCCCCGGCCTCTCATCCTGCACCTCCTCCACTACCACCTCGGCCCACCACGACTCCCAAGACTGTACAACATTCTTATATTGATCTAGTAAGACTATATACCAGTCTTATATTGAACTAGCTGGCTATTTTCAAGACTTATTTAACGTAAACAACTGGTGTTCCCACCCACCAACTAAGTATATAAACAATGAAACGAAACATGTAAACAACGAGTGACATTAATCCCACCTGGACGGAAAACACACAAATAACGAGTCTTGTCGTT